ATAAACTCAGATTTCGAAGAGAAAAGTATACATCTGTTCATTCTGTATGAAACAGCCGTTTTTTAATTTCAGAACCACAAGGATATTTTAAGAGTAAACTAGCACGTGCTTCTAGAAAACTCAAATCATAGGGTACGTAAAATAAAGCATGAGTGCACACCTCTATCCTGTTCTTCTTTATTCTTAAGTTAGTCAGTCTCTTTCCAAATATTTTTCTATGTAATTAGGTAAGAAAGTAAATAAATAAGTAAACAAATAATGAGAAAAATAAAAGGTACATACTAACTTTTAAAGTTATAAGCAATTATATTAATTTTTTTTAATTGAGGTCACATTGGTTTAGAACACTCTTTGTGATTCAGAGGTATACACCTCTTCAGATGTATGTTACCACACTATACCCACCACCAAGGCACTCATAGTCCTCTATGATAGTCTTTGTACCTCCTTCTCCCTTTGCTCCCCACCTCTGTCATCCCCCTGTGGTAATCTCAATTTTACAGTCAGTGTTTTAGGGTTTGTTTTGATTTAGCTTTGTTTCTTTATATTACTCATATGAGTGGAACCATCTGGTATTTGTCTTTCTCCTGACTTATTTCACTTAGCATATCCCCTCCAGTTTCATACAGGCTGTCACAAAAGACAAGGGTTTATCTTTTTTATGATTGAGTAGTATTTCTTTGTGTATATATACCACATCTTATTAATCTAAGACTGTCACTGGGCATTTAGTTTGTTTCCATAACATGGCTATTATAAATAGTGCTGCAATGAACATAGGAGCCTATAGGCCTTCAAATTAGTGGTTTTTTGTATTCTTCCAGTAGATAATGAGGAGAGGAATTGCTAGATCATATGGTAAATTTATTTTTAATCTTTTGAGAAACTTCCATACTGTTTTCTACGTGGACTGGACCAGCCTACATTCCTACCTATAGTGTAGTAGGGTTCCTATTTCTCCACATACTTGCCAGCACTTGTTTATGGATTTTTTTGGATATAGGCCATTTTCACAGGTGTGAGGTGGTATCTCATTGTGATTTTGATTTGTAGGTTTGTATTTCCCTAATGATAAATGATGATGAACATTTTTTCATATGTCTGTAGGCCATCTGCATGTCTTCTTTTTGGAGAAGTGCCTGTTTAGTTCTTGTGCCCACTTCTTGATTGGGTTATTTTCCTTTTGTTGAGTTGTATAAGGTCTTTGTAGATCTTCAATCCCTTATCAGATATATGGTGTGCAAAACACACTGAAAATTGGGGAGAATTAACAGGAAGTACTTCCAAGGCAGGGTACATGGCCAAAATGAGCCAAGAGGAAGCACTAGAGATGCGTGAGTGCTATATATAGTGTTCACTTCTTGTGATTTGCAGTCTTCAGCTATGTTCATAAACGTTGTGCTCTGCTGATGTTGTTTGGTGGCACAAAATATCAGAATAATGAGAAAAAATAAATGAACACATGGCTTTTATATAATTCTGAAATTATTGCTATTTCCCAATTACGTGTGAGCTACTATTCCAGAGTTTTAGCAGAACATATTACAATATATTTTGCCTTTAATATAGTAGAAAAATGATTGAAAAGGAGACAATTGAAATGCTGATATTTGATCTCTGGGAGTGCAAGATTTAAAACATAAATTTCCTTTTCAGATTTCACTCACTGAGCTTTTTTTCATGGTTTTGGGTATATAATGGATAAAAAACATGCAATGACTATTATTTCTTTTATCAAGAGGATTTAAAAAGTTAGCTAAATATATTGTTTTAGACATAATTTCTGATGGTGGTTACTTCTACTATTGAGGCATAATTTGGAGATTAAGTAAAACTTGGTTAAAGTTTATATAATTTGTAAAAAATGGTAAGTCAATTAAAAACAAATAAAATCAAACCTGGCCAGATAAAGTACTCTTTATTTTCAGAATATCAAGAAAAAAATCATATATGTGTAGATATGTTAAAAATAATAAGCCAGAAAACTGGTTGAGAAAGTTATAATTTATCAAGTGACTATGGTAAATGGAAAAATAAGCTCCATAATGTATTTGAATTCAACATTACAAGAATATTAAATATCAAATCCTTTTAAATCTGTCCCCTTTTCTCTAGGAGATAATTGTATTTTAATGAATTTTAAAATATACATGGAATTGATGATTGATAGTTTTATTTTTCTTTTAATTAAATTGAAATCATAAGTTTGTTTCTCTCCTTAAAAACTTCATAAAGAGTGCCTCCCTGGTGGCACCAGGGGTTAAGTCTCAGCATTGTCAAACCAGACACTGTAATAATCTGTCGCCAGACACTGCAACATGAGTTCGATCCCCGAACAGGGAGCCAACCCACGTGGTGCAGCAGACCTCTCCTGTCTTGCCTGCTGCTCCCCTCAGCAGTGTATTTCAGTAGATCTGCCTCTTCTGCTCCCCACTCTTTCTCTGGTGAATCCTCTTACCCTCCCACCCCCACACCTCAGGCCTATATACCAGTTCTTGTATGTATAAATAAAAATAAACCTTAAATAAAAAAAACTCCATAAACAAAAAAAAAGTCTAACAATTGTTTTCACTGGAAAACCATTTTAACATTTGAAATTGTCACTTTTCAAAAAGTTGCTATATATTATGCAGGTATGATATGAAATACCTCTTGTTTTATGCCTTTAAAAATGTGTTGCAAAGATTTCTAGGCTGACATTTAAATATCACTGTGTAAATCTGCTAGACAAGTTTGTTTTTTTTAAATGTGAGTTATGAATAAATGTTCTATTACTTTTCCACACCTGGTTCTAGCTGCCTGCTGTTTTAGTTGATATAAACTGATACACTTTCTCAAGTCATCAATTGTCACCATTGCAGTTTTGGTAGTGAAGTAGTTGATTTCCACTTGTTTTATGTAAGGTTGTAATAAAGTTTAAAATTTTGAAAATCTCATTAGCCTGTGTTTTAAAGTATCTGTGTGAAGTACTCTTTTACTGAATTCTAATTGGCATGTTATAGATCTTTGAATCGAAGGTAGTCTTATTTTTAACTTAAACATATGATTATTACTGTAGAAATATAAACAGATCCTCTAATAACTTTCTCTGATGATTTCCATTATTTGCAGTCTTTCTAAAAGTCTTCTAAATGGCTTTCAAAAAGCCATTTCTAATATTAGGAATGGCTTCTGTGTATATTGAGCCTGTTTAACCCCTCCTCCTTCAGTTAAGATAAGGTTAGAGAGGTAGATGGTGTATCATACAGAAGATTTGAAGGCATTTTGTATTTTTCCTTAGCAGTACTCATCACAAGTATAATTAGGTTATTAGTTGTATAGTTGTTTAATGAAAATCTCTTGTGATGTACTAAATACTCTGTATCCAGGAACCACGCTAGCATCACTTGCAGTACAATGCATAAATAAATGGAAGCCCTAGTGATCTTATATTTGAAATTATGTAAAAATTTGTTTTCATATATCTAAGGTTAAAAATAATTGATGCCAAATGATGTCATCATGTAAAAAAATGTTTTTTTTTTTTTTTTTTTATAGAGGCATGCTTATTTATTTATTTGTTTGCTTGTTTGTTTGTTTTGTTTGTTTATACATGCACTGGGTACAGTCAGAAGCGCGGGAGGGTTGAGAGATTTCCAGAGCCAGAGCGGGGAGCAAGCAGGCAGAAGGACCGAAGTACACTGCTGAGGGGAGCAGCGGGCGGCAGGAGAGGTCTGCGCGCCATGCGGGACTCCTCCGGTGGCCGGGAAGCAGCTGGGGATCGAACCGGCGCCGCAGAGGCCGCGGGCAGCTTCGCAAGCCCAGCACTCAACCGCTGCGCAACCGGGGAGGCCCAAAAAAATGTTAATTATTTGCACAAAAGTTCCCCCAACCTCTAGGAGAAAGTGACATGTAAGAGGCTGAATGAATTAGGAGAGCATCAAGGTGTCATTTGTGTTATTTCTTGGTCATGAGGACAGAGATTTTCATCTGGTTTGCTCATAGGTTTATTCCTAGCAGCAAGAATAGTGCCTGGCACAGAAATACATGCTGATATGCAAGGCTTTCATGCTGTGATGGTGACAAACAACCTAACATCCATCAATAGCAGATTGATACATCTTTACAATGGAAAACTTTAATTAAATAAACCAAGTATTTATATATTAATATGCCTAGATTTGATAAGTGATGTTGAATAAAGAAATGAATTTTACAATGTGTTAAAATGTCAGTTTTAAAAACATAAATTGTTATGACATTGTTTCAAAAAACACAAACCTGTAATAAAAGTTTCAAAACCTGAAAAGAAGAAATATTTGTTGAGACAATGAATTATTGAAGGAAATGCCACTCACAACTCAATAGTAAGAAAATAAGCAGTTTAATAAAAATGGTTGAGAGATTTTGGTTTTTAAATTTTGTATCATCTCTAGTCTTTTATGAGTTAGGCTTTCTCATTCTGGATGTAGGTGACCAGTCTAGTAAAGGGGCTCTGTCATCTATCTAATCTCAAAGAACGCTCCTTACTTTTTTGTCCCATGTAACGTTCAGTTTATATCCTCATGAATATTATCATGAACCCATTAATATCAGTGATTTTAGCTATAGTCATAACAATTTCGCCTCTTCTTTTCTGTACAGGTACATACAAGTAGAAATCTTGTCTTATGGACTGTTACTTGCTATGTCGTATGTCTGGGAGAAGTACTCCATGTTGAGCTGAACAAATACTAATCTGTGTGACTTTATTTAAGACCTTATTTATGGGATATTGTAAAATTATAAAATGAATTCTACGAGCAATATGACTGGTCAGATCACTTAACATCTGTTTCTTTACTTACAAAAAGTTTATAGTTTCAACATTCTTCTTGTTGTTACCATGTTGTAATAATCATAATAGCTTAGGAAAGCTCGCAGTCACTCTGAAGTTTGCTACCAAAAGTACTAATAATGGCATTCTTAACTATTTTAACTCCCAGAGGGTGGTACACTGATCAATTACTGTGTTCCTTTAGGGAGAGTCACTCCGGGGCAACTCACATCCTATATCCAACTTTTCAAGAACAATCTCAAAGCTCTAGTGAATCATTGTGGGCTCCTACAGCTTGGGTTGGCCACAGTTCAAACCCTGAAACACCCACAGACTGCCAAGTGGGACAACTTCCTGGCTTTTGAAAGGCTCCTTCTTCAGGTATGTTGCTCTGGGAGTTTCTTGGGATATTAATAATTAAAATTTTCACTTCCAGGGAAAAGCATTGCTGTTTATTACAATCTTAGTAATATTGTTGACATGTGCCCTATATCATATCCTCAAAATGCTCCCAAATTAAAATTCTAATCAAAATTTTCCCAACCTAATTTTTGTGACAGTGACATCTTTGACTTCTCATTCAGTCCTCAAAATGTTTTTTGAGCACTTGGCCTTTGGAAACCCTTTTTCAATTTTATGTTATTTGGACCTTTCTTGATCTTCATGAGATCTTTATTCAATCCTTGTTACTTTTCCTGTAGAATATTGCTACTACTTACATTTCTTCTGACACTAACTGGCCTCTAATCCTCAAGTAATTTAGCATGTGACTTAAAATGATACTCAGTGAAAGATGAAGGGAGACAAGCATCATTTGTGATTTTTATGAAGAAATTTGCATGAGAGAGAGGACCTTTTCATGATAGATGAAATATTTTAATGGGAAATTTTTTAAAAGATATATTTTTTTAAAATTATAAAGTATTTCAAATTTATATAAAATAACAAATGTCTATATTCTCTTCACATAGACTCAATATAATTTATCAGTTTTTATATTTATTTTATATCCATTTTCATCAAGGGAATAAAACTCAAAATAAAGTGGAAGCATCTCTGATACAATACCCTTTCTTACTCTGATTCTCCTTTTTCCGTTTCCCAGAGGTAATCACAAAATCAGTTACTTGTTTCTACATTTTTATTAAATGTTTTTTTATAATACAGAATATTGTGCTGTGGGTTTTACTTTTATGTAAGCAACATCACACTATAAATATCCCTAGTCAGGACCTCCCTGATGGCACAGGGGTTAAAGACACTGCCATCAATCTATTGCCAGCCACTGCAGCATGAGTTCTATCCCTGGCCTGCCAGAGTGAAACTCACATGGCGCAGCAGACCTCTCCTGCCTCGCCCACTGCTCCCTTCAGCAGTGTATTTCAGTAGAGCTGCCTGTTCTGCTCTCCACTCTCTCTGTTGAATTCTCTCACCACCCTGCATCTCTGGCTTATACCCCCGTTGTTGTATGCATAAATAAATAAATCTTTAAAAATAAATAAATAAATAAATATCCCTAGACAATTTGCTTTTTGTGGCAACATTCTATTTTTAATATACTCCAAGTTGATGTGT